TAAACATATATGTTTATTTTAAACATAAAAAATATTTGGAAGTTTTTATTTTTACATGAACATTAAGTATGAAATGGAGTGATTTTTACTATCTATAAATCTATGTATCTATATCCTGGTTTTTCAGCCGATTGAGTTCTGTTTCTGTACATCAGAATGCAGAGCCAATAGCCTAGCTTCTTAGATGCAGTTTAAATCTTGGCTCTGACAACTAGCAATTGGTGACTCTTTGTTGTCTCAACTATTGCCAAAATTGGGCACATTTATTTTCTGCATTCCAGAAGATGATTTCCCAGGGATCAGAACATTTTCACATTGCTATGCACAGCAAGTCAGTGTTGAAATCAGTCTCGGGGTACTGGGAAAAGATAGATCTATTGTTGAAAAGACAAATTGTTTTTACTGCTATCTTTCTAGTTCTTCTGAATCAAATTGTGTTTATTGTTTGAGCTCTTTGCTTTTCCTAAGTAGATAAGTTATTCACTGAAGCAGTTTTTCACAGTGATTTTAGTGTGAAAGGAAATCTATAAAGAAAAAACTGGAAAGTCACCCAAGAAATCTTGAATATTTTGCTGGAATATCTATTGTATATATTAGGAAACAAGTATCTGGGGGAGAATGTTTCTTGTAGAAAGATGTGTTAAAAGAGCAATATTTGTTGTTTAGCATTTAGCAATTACCAACTTATCACCAAGCTGTACCTTCATGATGAAAAAAATGATGTACAGGATATAATGCTTCCATATTTTTAAAATACTCATTTAAGCAAAGAGATTCTCTTCCCTTGCTGTCAGGATAGATGATTTATCTATTTTCTGTTAACATGAAAGTATAACATTTATCTTGAATGATGTGATTAAGCAATGAAAATGTCATGTAGGTCATTTTTTGGATATTCAAATAATGCAATATGTTCATTGACAGAGAACTTTTCACTTTGGAACCCTGCCCCCAAATTTCCACTATAGAATTTGATTTCATAGACATTTAGCGTTGGCAGAGATTTCAGTGATTAATCCAGAGGCTGCAAAGTCCAGGATCAAAATGATAATGTATCTAACAGGTTGTTCATGTGGATAAAATGAGCTGATACTTGTAAAATGCTTATAACAGTGCATGGCTCAGAGTGCCAGTCAACCATGTTAGCTACTACTATTACTACTACTACTGGTGCTGTCCAAAACTGTGTAATTGTGTCCCACTTTTGGTCCATGTTAGGCTTTTCCACATGACCTACCTTTAAGTCAAGTCTCCCCATTTTATGCTTAAGCAGCGGGTCATTTTGAATTTCATTATAACTCATTGTACACTTAACTTTTTAATTTCATAATGCTATTTTCAGGCCCAACTACCTGTCCTTTTCAACCTAAAATTTGTGATTTAACTGGTGATTTAACTGGTGATTTAACATGTGTCACCTGGACTGGAAAATATTCAGTTTACTCCTTTGGTTTCTTAATGTATAGTGTTTGTGGCATATGCTCAAACAATCTTTGTTAGCTGAATAATTGTCTTGAAGGAGCAGAATTGATTATAAAATACAAACCTCAAATAATAGTTTGGTTTATTAGAGACATTCGCTTATCTCTAGATGTGAGTGGGTCAAGAATGAGAGTAGGAATGATGGCAAGGTAATAAAAGAGGAGGGACCTGGGAGGTAGAAGTCAACAATAATGGGGAAAGAAATATCAAATAGGAACCTCCTTGAATTAAGATTTTGATTATCAGGATTGTCACCACAGGCCTTATAACTTGGAAGTCCAGAAATGGCTTCATTAATTCCACAAATATTTTTCAGTACCTACTATATGCAAGGCCATGTGCTAGAATTGGAGTATATTCATATATAAGATAGTCCCTGCCCTCAGGGAGGTTAAGTAGAGGAGATACGTAAATAAATAGCTGAAATACAACTTAATCGCTCTCTGCATGAGCTAGACCACACTAAATGCCACTAGAATTCAGGGGCAGTAGTGATTACTCTTGTTGCCCTTGCAGATTGTATTACTGGCCCAGTTCTTTACCTCTCCTTTTGTCATGAATTTTGCATTTCCTTCCCACTGTGAGTGGAGCATACTTATGTATCTCTTGACCTTGGGCTTGTCCATATGACTTGCTTTAGACAACATATGAGGCAGAAATAAAGGTGTGCCAGTTCCAAGCTCACACCTAGAGAGAGCTGTGTGTTTCCACCATGTCTCCATCATAAACATAAAGAATATGCCTGATACTAGATGCACAGGCAGTAACCTGAAGACTGATCCACTAGTTTCACAACTGCCTAAAATCTAATCGCCATAATAAACCCCTTACTCTGTCATTTAGAGCAATTCTGCTTTTCTACTAAATTGGAACACAGAAACTGGGTAGCAGGAAGTGGGGTGCTGCCATAACAAAAATTTAAAACATGTGGCATTGGTTTTGATAACGAGTGGCAGATGGATGCTGGCAGGACCTTGAGGAGATTGTTAGTGAAAACCTAAAGGGCCTAGGTGAGGGTGTTAACAGAAGCCTAAAGAGCTTCCAAAAATGCTGTCAAGGAGGGATTACAGAAGAGAGGAAAACACTACTGGAAGCTGGAAGAGAGAACGACTATGTAGTAAAGTTTAGCAAAATGTTACCTATGGTAACATGGAAAATAATAAATGTATCTAATGAACTTGATGATCTAAGATTTCTGGGCAGTGTTGAGGGTGCCACCTGGCTTCTTCTGTCTAAAATAAAATGAGAGATATAAAAAAAAATTATTCCATTTCCAAATGCAATTTAGAGAAAATACAAAGGCTCAGAGCAGTCTTTCAAGCCAATAAAGGGTTCTAGTATTTAGAAATGGCTTCTAGGCTGCTGCAGATCCAAGATAGCGGAATAAACACTGTGCCTGTTTCTGTCTG